TGAAGATCACTGAGCAGAGTGAAGTAAAAACAGAGCTTGTGAATAAATACGCAAAATGTGAGATACGTGCATTGTGAGTATACAAACGATTGGGATAGACTTATGCAAATGAATTCTTCTGTTTTATGCTATAAATTCGCAGTTACCATTGCTAGATAATAGATACAAGCCGGATCATAGCTTGGCTCAGGCTCACAATACTAATGATATTGGTACACCATTCGGTTTCGAGCAAAACTTTCCCGTTCGTTACTATTGTTATTCGGATTTTTGACATAATTAATTTTTCGCTATTACCATTTCATTATGCGTAGTATTGTTAAAGTAACAGCCGCTTAACATGACTATCAGAGTGATTTGATAATTGATTACTTTGGTATCTAACACTGAATGTCTTAAAATCTTTTAATATCTAAATGATCCTTTGCTCCAGTTTCAGTATTGTCATAAAATTGTAGAATTTAAAATTACAATTCATCCAGGATATGACAATTGATTAATGTTCAGTGATCTGTTTCAGATCAATTGCTCACAATCAGACAAAATCCTGAGTGAGCAATATTATACACCATTTATGGACTATATAAATGAATAGCTTATGAACAATGTGTATTTTCGCACCCATGCATAACAGTGGAATGGAACACGGATACTACTGAATGTTAGGTAGAGACAATATGATTGCTGCATACCTGGAATGCACAATTCATTGTTTTTTCCATGATAACACAATGTAATCACATGGAAATACAGTCTGAATCCACTGTGATACATTCAGTTTCATGCGAGAACAGCTAAAATCAGATTTGCTAAGCGAAAGCGAATTGGATAGTCGATTCATTCGGAATCATTCGTCGTTTCTCTCATACAATAGGCCGTCATTTAGGTCACCAAATCTGGTTCCAATTGTCCAAATGCAATAGTGATCAAATAATGATCAATAGTGATCAAAGTGCTATCACAACTTTCGTGCATTTCTACAAGTAATTTGAACGTGCCAAATTATCGTCAAAAATTCTCATGGGTGATTTCCATTATGACCATTTTTTTCTAGACTTGAAAATTACAACGACTCAACATAAGCAGAAAATTACAACGACTCAACATAATTTTGACACCACATCAAGAATTTTCGAAAAACCGTTTTAATCCCGGATAGAGCTAAAACCTACCTACCTACCAGTTTTCGAATATTGACGAAAGCTTGCAGATCGTAAATTCAAATCGTCAATCCAAAAACGCAATGATTTCTGCTACGATAAGCGTAACTAATTCATTTGGTGGAACGTGAATCAAGAAAAAAAAGTGATCATATTCAGCCTAATGGAATGCAACTGCTGTGTGCTCCTTAAAACAATAGGTAATTGTGCTACTGAAAGTCTTACCGAATGAACAAAAAAACTAACGAATCATACAAAAACTAAGCGAGTAAACGATAACAAATTACAGAACAGATCTAATATTATACAGCAGACACGATCCGTTTCTACGCATACCAAACATCCAACAAAAAAAAAACGATCGTCGTAAACAGATTGCATTTTCGTATTCCTTATCTCTCCGATCAGGCAATCACATTTGAGTGTTTTTTTTGGGAGGGGATAGGTAACACACTGTTTACTTGTTGTTTCATGATTTTTGGTGCTCCCAGTAATTTTCTGATACAATTATGCATCTACCCATAGCCTAATCTCATCATCTACTCAAAAAAATGATTGCTGGTACTACTCATTCATCAACCCACAGCCTCATCTCATCATTTGTTACAATTGCCCTCAGAGACGGGTAAATTCTTTCCCGGAAAAGTCTTCGATGGTGGATAGCATGGGGAAATGAAGAGATTGGGAAATGAAGATGGGCATGTGACGCTATTTGCTGATTTTTATCATAATATATCCGTAATTTCCAGAATACTTTTCAGAATGCTCTTTCGATCACACGAAACTGACTCAATTGATATAATAGCTGAATTCATCGAAGAAAACTCTTAAATCAGTTGATCAGTATGATGAGTTCCGTCTGATTTATTACCAAAAAGGAACAGATTACCGCGGGGGTGGGGTGGTGAAGAAATCGGGGTCATATAAATTATTGGCACAATGTAATGGTTGCGGGCATTTGATCAAACGAGAGATTGAATCGATCTACTCATCTTTTAGATCACTAATTCTTGATGTAATCGTTCACGTGAGCTTCTTTTCAGATGTCTATGGAACAATGAATTGTCTTTCAAGTGATAGCTAATACAGAGTTGGCTCGATGGATATTATCCAAATGATATCAAAGTCAGCATTCAGGAGTTTCAGGATAAAAGCTTGATTTTCTGCGATATTATGTGTTCAGCCATACGACGAGCAAAACGGATCAAAAATCGATCCGATGCATTCACTTCGAACGATCGTGACTAGTTGATACAAAACTCTCGGAATTCCGTGGGATATTCCGATGCTATCAGAAAGATATACTGTGCAAGGCGGATGTACAGCAGCTCGTTGAAGCGCAGACAGTTTAGCAACAAGCATTCTCTGAATTATTACAAAGGAAATAATAAAAAGTTCTCTCATGAGCGTTTTTACTCTCCAAATGACAAATCCTTAGAAAGTAATCACTGCATGATCCGCCGGTGTGGTTTGCCTCAAAAAACGGCAATATGTTGCATACTATCTTCATGGAGTCAACAATATCATGAGATACCAGCGCATTTTCATGTGATTTTCATTTTCTCATGATATTTTTTGACCAATTTTATACGATAGTCTGCTACAAGTAATCACACAATCTCGGCTATATCTCACAATCAGTGCAAACCAGTCATGACCGATGGTGGCTTATTGAAGAAGGAATAGATATGATTGTTACCATATCGCAGAAGTTTTGTTCAGAAGAAGTGTGTTCTACTGGGATATTTTCGGAACTTACAAGGTTTTTCTTCTTGACGTCTTGATGCTGCTGCTGCTGCTGCTGTTATCTTTGTTTTCACCGATTTGATCTCAAGATTTGATAGCAGCAATTTCGATAGCAATTTCTTCTCAGATACACACACACTCCTCTTGTATTCTCCGTTCAATTCTTCAACATGCACAAAAGACGTCCATCCAACCAACCAATTGCCCATTTGTACACTTTTAGCATTGGCTATGTCTTTTTTTTGCGATGTCGAGAAACGACGATGATGATGGTGTTGCTGCCGAGAATGAATTACTTTAGGAGACGAAAAAAAGTGGCGCTTTATTTTTATCGTTTCATTATTCTGAATGTTTTATGGTCTATGCTTCATGTTGCAATTTTCCAAGCGAACTTCATGAAAGTGTTTGTGATGGCTTGAAAAAAAAAAGACGCAACAAGAGAAAAAAACAAGCCAAAAAGCAACAATAACAATACGATTGTTGTTCGAAGATGTATGAGAAGAAGAGCTCAGTGAGTGAAAAATTGTGCTGCTAAGACAAAAACTAAAATGTCGAGAAACCAAGCGTCGCAATGAATCAGTGGCGATTTCATGAGATATTGAGAAGAAGCACACCGAATAGACTCTAGCGTGAATGAGAGTAACAGAAGCTGTACGAAGAATCGTATGCAAGACGGATGCGTTCATGACTGCGTGATAAAACATTCGTACAGTAACAAAATATCATGCAAAAGCCACATTAATCATCTGTACAGTTTCGGATACACTTTCAGATGGATGCTCATTTTACGAGCATA